CGTTTTAGACCAGAGTATTGAAAGTCTCCAGGATCCGTAAAAGCCGAATCCTTCCCAACAAAACCAGAAGTAACTGTTGACTAATCATAATCAAGTTTTGCATGGCAAGCAAACAGCAAAGAAGGGCGATTAAAACATTTTGCGGAGGCATTTTCCTTTGCGACAGCATTTGACCGGGAACGACATCAACGACGCACTGTCACGAAGTCTCGGTACCTATTTCGATTGATTGACATTTGTGGTTACACAAATAATTCGCACGTCTTATGCATGATAGCCTGCGTCGCAGACAGTCTAAACCGGCTCACCCGAGATAAAACAAGATTGAATGTCAGCGACTGCTTGGGTTAAGCTGTATTCACAGTGTAATAGGGAAAATCAAACCAAAGCGTTACATGCATTGTTCTGGTCGTCATTGTTTCTGATAATGAGGTTTAAATTCATCATCAGTCAATCTTAAGGTCTTAAAGTTAATTTTTGTGGTGATCCCCTCCATGATCAGTTTAGCATCGAGGTAACGTATAACCAATACAACACTCTTCACCGGTTTCAGAACATTTCTTATATCGAAACACAGAAAACAGCTTCTTCTCCGTTGTGCCTGAAGGCTACTTAGCACAAGGGATCGCCATCAGCCCTGATTAATGGGTTGTTTCTCTTTTCTACGTTCGTTCGGCACCGAATGTGGCTGCCTTAATGAAGAGCAGCTGAAGTAATACCTTGAAAGAACCTTCTCAAACACCAGATCAGCCAATTAATCAACATGTTTTCCTAACCTTGACAAATCAATGCCACCGTCATTATTGAATGTAAGAATGTAATAATTTTTTCACTGTTGATGACCTGGGAAATGTTCGCCCAATCTACTGAGCAACGAGGCTCCTGTATAAAACGCTCGACAAAGAAAGGTAAAAATAAAAAATAAAATAAACAAAATAATATGTAAAATATGCGACGGAGGAACCTATAGGAGTATTTTACTATGAAAAGTATATAAGATTAAAATGATTAATCAAATTCATGGGTAGGAGACGGACAGAGGCACCCTTTAAAATCAGTATTGACTTAATCTCCTACGAAATTCGGAGATAGACTTGCTATGTTTGATTCAGAGTAAGACTATGTAGGAGAACGAATTATGCATAAAAGAGCTACTATATGATACACCATTATTTCATAAGTTGTTCTTGGTTTGAAAAAACTTTCTCTCTCTCTCTCTCTCTCTCTCTCTCTCTCTCTCTCTCTCTCTATATATATATATATATATATATATATATATATATATATATCGTGGGGCTATCCCGTCAATCGAGAATCAGGGAATATATACAACATCTTTCCTTTAATGATTGCATTGATTTAGCAGATCATCATAAGTTCTATAGCGCCTGTATTTAACGTTGTTCTTACACCGTACTCTTTGGCTGACTCACATTTCTTTTTCAGGGTTTTACTGATACCTAGCAAGATGGAGCTAGCACATATGCTATATATAGATTGACAATGATGCGCTCCGGGACTGAGCTCGAGTGCTAAGTGCGAAGTAATTTCCTCATTAAATCAGCCTTGTATGAAGCCTTTCAGACTGTTGTATTGTATATCAGGAGTAACATTCTATTTTACGCGATCTACTAGAGTAAAACTCCTAATATCTCGGTAATAATTAACGTTCTTGGATATCTAAAGATCGTGCCTGATAGATGTTGTGTAAATACCTCATTGAGAAAAAAACGCAAGGTCTCGGTGAAACCATTAAAAACCAGACTCTAGTCTCAAGGAGCACAATTTTCAAAAGGTATCAAAAGCAGCGATGCTAGAATCATTCAGAGTTGTGGACAATCTTTTAAATAATAGAGATATCAAGAACTTCAGTTGATTGTCCCTCTAGAGTACCACAAACTTCGGTGACTTCAGAAATTCGTGTTCTGCAATCTTCACTCGTAAATTCCGGCTTAACGGATCATAACAAAACCAATCCAATTCGTTGGCCAGCTATTTTCTCTTGAGGAAGAAGAAAAAATATCTACTGCCAAGATAAAAAATATCAGTTTGGACTCATAAGTACGGTGGCCCAGAAGGCTCAACGCAAACAAAAAATATATTGCAGCAAATAAAAAATATACTGCAGCAAATAAAAAAAAAATCAAAACGTAAAGAAAAAAAGTGTCGAGGCAAATAAAAAATGCAACGCAAACAAAAAGTACTGCAGCAAATAAAATATGCAACGCAAGCAAAAAAAAAAAAGAAAACGTAAACAATTTAAATTAGAACGCAACGCCAAGGATGACTGGGTAATACTTCTTAGTTTCCCGCCAAAACAGCATGAACTGGAACTCGCTTTTGGTTATGGACGAAAGCGATCTGCGTAGGATTATAGAAGATTACTTTCATCAAGGGTATGAAAATAGAGTTATTATCGATTTTTTAAAGGAGCAGCATGGTACTGTCATAAGTTCGCTGCAAAACATGGTTTCGGAAAGGCGAACAAGCAAAGGATGGAACGAGTGTTGGCGGGAAACTAAGAACTATTACCCAGTCTTCCTTGGCGTTGCGTTCCAATTTTTTTNACTCGCCAGTAGGGATTAGACTTTCTTAGATGAAATGCCATTTTCCAGTAAACAACGTAAATTTTATGACATAAATCTACCTCAATGAAAAATATTTCACAAGGGACAGAATGGTACGGTCGGTTAATTTTCCACGCAACTCTCACGTGCTTAGACGTTTTCTACCAATAAAATTCGCTTTTAGCTAACCTGGACTTTACCCCATTGCGTGTCGATTTCCTGTAAACAACCTGCATTTTATCACGTATTTCGCACGCACAGGGCAAAGTCCAGATAGGCAACAACCAATTAAGTAGCCCATCTTATTATCCTTTCAAGAATGATACTTTCTCTTGGTTTAATCTACTTTCACTTGTTCGAAGAACGGGGACTGGAAAATATCTTTGTCCAGAGGCTGTAAGAGATAAATAGAGCTTTACACTGCAAAATTATATGGAAGAATATTTTGAGGCAACCATCTGTTACTGAACAAGAGGCTACACGGAGCCATAGTCCCCTCTACTAACTATGACGGAGCCTATATTTGAGCCGGATTTGTGGATCAGCGGATTTAATTGAATTGGTTCGAATTGAGGGCTTTGCTGTTTTAGCAAAATCGCGGTCGAGTGTTTTTCATGGTTTGGCAACATGGAGAGTTATGGAGACTAAGACTTCGGAACAAGTTGATGCCATCCATGACAATTTGGAAATACTAAAATCGCCAGAGGAAAAGCGGGATCACTCATTAAAAATTTGCATTTGAACGCGATGACTTAGTTTACAAGGATTTCTCTTAATTTTTGCTTACATCTAATAACAAACCTTAGAAGCTTTTTTTGCCTCGGAACGATATATCACAGAAGGCATTTTATAGACCTCAAGTTTTTTAACTGATTGAAATTAAAGGTATGTGGCAGTGACTTCCACAAGTTTTTTTTGGTCAGAAAAGTATAACTGTTTTGTCCGCAATATTAATTTACGGATGGATTCAATCGCCAATGTTTACATAAGATGATTGTATTAATTAATCGAATTTAAAAAATCGGCCAAAACCTTTCCCAAGGGTTGTTGTTTTCATCAGTACGTATAGAATAGAAGTGATTCACGGTATTAGGTTTGTACTTTAAATAGATATATTTAAGTTCACTCGAAAGATGAGTACAAACTGTAACAAGCTTATCGTTGATGCGCGGCCAGTACTTTAAATGTGACTGACACTCGATGCCAAAACTCAACCTCGTTCCCAGCCTATGTCCATCACATTGCTTAACGCTGATTAAAAATTGCGCGCTATTGTCCATTTTCTTGCACAGGAAAATACAAACGGAATTTCTGATTCTGGCCCTTAATGGTCAGAATAATAACTAGAACTTTGTCTCTGACGAAGGAACGGCAATAAGCACAATTTTAAGTTACGAGCAGGTCGTTGTTTGGTCTCGTCATGCAATGTTGGAAAGAGAGACAGAGCGTTGCGTGACAAGTTCAAATTAGGGCTGTGGAGGGGACTGCAGGGAGCGTTGTACCAATGCAGGTTATTTTTGCCAACAATTATTCAGACACCAGCATCAGTTATATAGTGTCCCATTTCAACCTACGTATCCAAAAAAAATAACTCCCGCATGCGTAGCATGCCTATGTTTTTTGTTTGCGTTGAGCCTTCTGGGCCACCGTAGTTCTACCTTTGATGCTCCTTCCTTTGGCGAGCAAACGACGCAAGTCTTTCAATTTTAATCAATGCTAGCTAGCGATCGGCACAGATCAGTCGTCGCGCTTCAAACATGAATACTATTTTTTGCCGTGTGATTTTGTCGCAATAATCTTTATGGCTGTAAATCTAGATCTTTATCAAACATTTCGAAAATAGATTCGCAAAACCTGAGACGTATCATGAATATAAGAAGCTCATATATTTTGAACTGCGGTATTAAATACGTATGATGCACGATCCGTGCATCATACGTATAACCGCAGTTCAAAATATATGAACTTCATATATTCATTGTCTCTGATTTATCATCACGGGTTTATTACGAATCAACTTAACGACCTGCTCCCTTATTAGCTTAATTGGTAGAGCGCTGCACTAGTATCGCAGAGGTCAGTGGTTCGAATCCCGTACAGGCCTGATTTTTTTCAGGTCTGATTTTCGCTATTGCATAAATAGCGCTCTCTACTGCGAGGATCGTGCATCATACGTAACTANAATAATGTTATAACCTAATCAATGTTATTGATCATCATTTAACAAACAATGTATCATACGATCATAATTAACTGTCCACCTAGATGCTTTATTGGACCGACCTTTACAAGGTACGTTAGCCCTTCGCTCCGACGAAGGGCTAACGCTAGAAACGTCAGCTTTTGTAATCGTTACGGAGGCCAATTTACCATTTCAACTTTGTTGATATATCCAAATTATTTCGTTACTCCCACCGACGCAGCCCCAAACAGTTTCTTTCGAAACTATCAGCCTTTATTTATTTACAAGTTATACATTTACTAAGTTTAGTATTTAAAAATGCATTAACATATATTTACACATTGCCTTCATTCGGAGGCATGAATAGAATTCACTAATCTGTTTGCATTGTTTTGTTCTTTGTTGCTTGTGAACGTCTTGAGTCATTAATAACCGGTTTCGGCGCTTTATCGTTAATTCGGGTTTGTTGCTTTTCAAATATCGTTAAGCTTCCACGTTAATCCTTATAAGTGGGGTATCTGTTTCATGAACTTGGGCCGCCTGCGCGTTAAACTATTCAAGTGCGATTTCCATAAATCAAACGGTTAATCCCGCCAGAAATATTTGTACATTCAGGACTAACGGTCTATTTTACAAGAAAGCAATTCATTCTGGAATAACTGTCAGTTCAGCATGATTTTTCTGTGAATCAACATGTCGTGGAGTTGAGCAAGAACGCACTATAAACTCTTCATAAATTTCGTAAGACACATGATTTAACTGCAGTGCATCATCAGGTTATCAGTGCCAACTTATATTTAACGAAGAAAGCTTTTTGATCTTGCTTACTACTGAGGTAATTCAACCTATTGTGTTATTTAAACGAGCGTTATTTCACTCTCAAAGTCTGAATATGCAGAAATTTCTTGACTTGTCCCGCATCTCTGCTTCACTGATCACGTGTATGCATCAGATTTTGGTCAATATTGTCCGATGTTAGGAACAAAAAAGGGTTCTTTAAACGGTGCATTTACTGGTTGAATCGCAATGTATCTTTATACCATGAAAGGACTTGAAACGATTGTTCGACTGATTTGATTCAGTCACTTTTATCCAGAGTATCGAAAGTCAAGAAGAGGTCTCAAAGTTGATTTGTAGATATTTCACTTTGGTATTGGCTTCCTGAAGGAAAGATTCAACTTAGCAGATAGTAGTGATCCATTGCGAATCTTATTTAAAGACTGCACCTCCAAAGAACGGCTTCTAATGAGGGTTGCCCTTTCAGGGTTGTCTTCAAAGAAGAACTTTTGGTGATTTTCAGCGTCTGTCAAGAGGCGTTGAGCTGCCTTGTGAGCGAAAAGGCCTTTGCTGAAGCGAAACACGTGACAGGTGGACTCTTGTTTTTCTTTAATTTCCCCCACGTACATATAAAACTTTGCGTTATCACAGAACATTGAGATGATGTCACGCCACTGGAAACTATAACATAACTCGCCCACTTCAGGAAATTTACTCTTCAAATGGCAAATGCGCATTCCATCCATTGTAATACAGAACACAACTTCTTCTCCATTGCGATCACTTATTCCATAGTGCATACAGGCTCCGTAGTTATCAAGTTCCTTGCAAACGTCGAGGGCCGCAGACACCGCCTCCTCGCGGGTCATCCCGCGATGTGATTTATGCAAATCTTTGACCATTACTTCGTAACTTTCCTCGCTAATGTTCTCATCAGTGTTGATACCTGTGGGTGGAAAGTAAAGTAAATCTAGCAGTTCCTCTAAATATCCAGGCTTGTGTCGCTTGCTACTGAAATCTCCAAGCATGGCTTGCACGTAGAATCCATCAATCATGGCATGTTTGCCAACAGGGAGGGAAAACTTTCCACGGTTAATTAGAGCTTTTACGTGAAGCAAAATGAGCCATCGCAAGTTTTCCTCCACTTTAAGAGGATCCCGCGGAAACACTTTCACGGCGAACTGATACAACAGCGGTTTGGATTTTCGTTGCGGAGAGAGTTCTTTCTCGAGGTTCAACCACACCAATTCGCCATCTTCACGGTCAATGTACTGAAGCCCAAAGTACTGCTTGTAATTGATAGGCACTTGGATCTTGTCGCATACTCTATCGAGCAACTCGCTTCCCTTCACTGTCTTCTGCTCAAATGATGTAATGAATTGCGAATTGTCGAGTAAAACAACTTGGCATTGAATGATACTTGAACCTGAACGGAGAAAGTGAAAAGACATCTTGACCTACAATTTCGCCTGTCTTGAATTAACTGTGCTTCTTTTTGTCTCAATGGTTTAATACGATAGAAAACTGTCTTTCTGCGAAGAAGTTTCCTATACAAACTTTCCCAGGAAACTATGTCAAACAACTCATCATGCACGCACACCTACTCGATCTGATATCTACCAAACTCCCTGTGTTTCAATTGGATGATATATTTAGTGTCTGTCAGAGATACGTGACCAATATCTAGGTTTGGGATTATTCGGTTTTAGAAACGGCGGAAAAAACATAGATAAGGTTACACTGTGACGCAGACAAAGATCTAGAAAGAGACAAAAGAGTCTTAGAATTGAATTCCCAGGAGATAAAGTAAGTAATTTTCAAAATGTACATTGATGTTGATCAAATGATGGGCAACGGCGGAATTCCGTAATTCCGTAATTATCAATATCGTGTTGGTTTAATAGTTCAATCCAGACAGCTATGATACCGGAAATGCTTCCTTTCAGTATGTCATGTGAACTCAGGAGATTGCGCGACAATTATTATCATTGTGAATTTCACCAAGAGGGCGGAGTAACAAGGGAAAATGAGTTATCCATTTCAACTTCTGAGACAAAAGTATAGTAGTACATAAAGTTTTCAAAACATCTTGCGCCTGTCAGGATTCATACGCAATTTTCCGGGCGGATACTACGTAATATTGACTAAGAGCCTGATTACATGAGCCGGGCTGATTTCTTTTGTTTTCACGCTTTGGCGAACACCAAAACAAAAGAAATCAGCCCGGCTAACCGGGCCAGCCCGGCTCATGTAATCAGGCCCTAAAGGGGAGTGCCCGACGAGTAAATATTTGGCCTCAGGTCATGACGTATGGACCGAGCGGAGCGAGGAAGGTGTGGCATGACTGAGAGCAAAATATTATCCCGTCCATAGGCATAAATGTTTCCCCTATTCCTTCGAGCCAAAATCCATCGCCAAAGAGCCATCTCGACGAGGGGCCGGACTGACCACTGGCTCATGTCAACCCGTTCGGTTTGTCGGCACGTCAGTATTCAGTATACTTTTCTTAAGACTACTTATATAGGCCGGTGCTCTGGACAAAGAACTATGGAGGTCGCGTTTTTTCAAATTGTGCAGCCATGCTTAAGAACAACCGTTAGACCGTTAGACGTGAGGAGCGTCCAGTCCGTTAATATTCCTTAAAAACAGACTCAAAACCTTTTATCTAATCTTTGACTATGTCAAACTTGTTCTTTATTTAGCTTTTACACTGTAATCAATTATTGTAAAGGCTTTACTGGATCCTAAATTACACCTACTTTTATGAGGATACTGGCATTTTACTACTGATGTAATGCGCAAGAAATAAATTATCATTATTATCATTTGATAAACTAGCATAAAATCCAACATGGCCTGCATGCCGATTACTATTTCAGTCTACACGACGTGCGATTGAAAGTAAGAAGAAAAAAATCATGTAATTCATATTACATTTATGTAAAATAAGAAACCCAGATAACTGGCCAGGTCGACGTCAGGTGAAGTGTCTCTACATGGTAAGTCCACGCGAGATGTTCATGTCGTATGACGTCACGCGATTCATGTGACGACTGCCACGCAGCACTCGCGCGGGAAAGCGTTTTCAACACAGAGCCAATCAGGGGTCAGTAGGGAACAAAACAGACAGAAATACTCGAGGGAAAGAAGGGATTTTTTTCAGCATGTGTTGACATTGCCTTTTGGGTAACTGTTCTTCATCATTTTTACAACTCAACTCGTTCTGTGTCAGCGTAATATCCAAGGGATCGTCAAGAAAAAATATTTCAGAAGAATGAGGTGAAGGTTGCTCCTACAGAGCCTTTGTAGAGGTGATGTGATTGCGCCCAAGCTTACTTTCAGTTTCCAGATGGCGACTGTTAAATCTGTAAAATTTAAGAGAAGAAAATCTTGCGGAAGCCTGGAATGTCAAGTGGTACTTCTTGATAATTCTCTCTATGTAACTAAATTGGATGGCAAGTCTGCTAAAGGACAGGAGCTTTTCAACAAAGTGTCTGAAAAGCTGAGTTTGCCGCCGAACACGAGAAACTACTTTGGCTTGCAATTTATAGATGGCGTCGACGGCGAATTAACGTGGTTAGATTTTGAAAAAGAAATTAGACCTCAGCGAAGAAAACCGTACACTTTCCAGTTTGCTGTGAGGTTCTATCCGCTTGAAGCCAATGTCAAACCCAAAGAAGTCCAGGACCTGTTGATTTGGCAAATCAAAGATTCTCTTATTCGAGGTAAATTTATCACGTCGATTAATGAGCACGCCGTTCTAGACGGATTTTTTGCTCAGGCCTTTCTTGGTGACTTTAACCCCAAGTTACACACTCGTGGCTATTTGGAGGATTTATTGGGGTCTTTCTTTGCCCCACCCAACAGAATAAACTGCGATGCTGAATTGAGTGAAGAGAAATACGAAAGTATTGTTTACAATTTACATCGCTCTCATAAAGGTATGACTCCAGGCGAAGCAAGAATTGCCTTCCTGGAGATGGCTTATAATCTTCCTTTCTGTGGCATGTCATTACACCACGGAGCGACTGACAAAAAAGGCAACATCGTAGATTTGGCGATCTGTGGCAGCGGAGTTCTCGTCTTTGATGTTGACACCTTTGGAGTAGCGGGAAATGTGGTTCAAAACTTTCCCTGGCACGAAATTGTTGCGATGACTCGTCAAAACAGGAAATTTTACGTGGTTGTTTATTCTCATGAAAGGAAAGACGGCGGAAGTTATTCATACAGGTTTCATGGGCATTTTGGTCACAGAGCCTCAGAAAGGATTCTGCACGACGCTCTAAGGCATCAAGCGGTTTTTTACCAGCCCGAGAAGAAGTTATTTCGACGTAGCAAATCTTTTGGAGAAGTCGATTCTCACATAGGTACAGGGCAGTTCAAACGCAGCGACAAGAAATATGCTTCAACATTTGGCAAGACACCCAGCCGTGGATCATTTAGAAAATTCACTGATTCTATTCGAAGAAAGATACCTCACAAGCAAAAAAGTGCACCAGCTGATTCATCCCTCGATGAAAGCCCGAATACCAGCAACACAAGCACCATGACCTACGTGTAAGGTCGTACAATTTTATGGTCTCATGGCCAAAGAAAATTCACCAGCGTGTGCTTTGGGGATTATATAAAGACGACTTTACAAAAACTTTGTTTTGATATTAATTTTATATTAATTTTCTGATGACCATTTTCTGATGACCATTTTCTGATGACCATTTTTCCCAACAATGTGCCCGGGATCATGAAAAGGTCAAGCAATGTTACTTTATTTGATTTCATAAGCACATAAAATTTCTTCTTTAAAGTACTTTTGTAAGAGGTGGGAAACTTGGAAAAGAAAAACCTCTCTGGCACTGATAAGTCCAGGAATTTTATTTTGAGCTTGGAAAATTTTATCTTTGTAATAGATTTGCAGTAAACTCATAGTAAAGCATGAAGAAAAGTTGATGAACCATGTGCACCTTGTGGGTTCAAATTTAAAAAGTAACAACAGCAGAAAACCTCATCCCAAGGGGGATGAGCAAATTTCAAGGTAAAAAATTAGAACTGGCATCACAAATTTTGTCCTAACTGAGATTCCATTCACACTGTCAAACATAATCAAACAACTTATTGTGATGATGAAAAATGTAGCCATGAGTGGAAAGGATGTCTGTTAAGAGAGGATTCATGCTACTTAATGTTATATTTAACATTGGAAATTGTATTTTTTTTACCAAGGAATGGTTAGAAAAAGTCAAGTCAAAATGTTTGTGATAGTGATTTATAGAAGTTTCCCCCACTGCAAATTTACCTTCTCCAGTTTCCTCTCACTTACAGTTGCAAAGTGTTCAGTAACTTAGAACAACAACATGACCTTATGGCTAAGGAAATATGTATGTCACATGATATTTATTGGTAAATGTTATAATTATGTAATGCTGAAAGTTAGTAATACTTTAGCAAAACCAGCATCAATGTAAAGCTGTACCATAAAAAGTAATATATTCAAATTTTGTGGCTATTTCTTGAAATATTGCTAGACATTAATTTTGTACTCGTCTTGCACATTAATCGTACTCTGTGAAGTACAGTTGGATAATGAATTTATTTGTGCTTATTAAAGCTTTCAAAAGTTTGCAATAGTGCTCTGTTAAGATTTCACAAGGCTGTCTTTGAGAGAAATAGATGCTTAATTGTATTGACAATGGCAGTTCTGCCTCTGTGTTTCTAGTGATTACACAGACTTATCTAGAACCTATCTTCTCGGATCATGTGTACTGTCGGTACTCTTGGAAAAGAGTTAGTCTTCTATGTTTAACCGAAATGTTGGTTGACATTCTATTGACATTTGGTTGACACTCAACGGTTGGCTGATGTTTGATAAATTTTGACCAATATTGCAATTCCTTATTGACTGAGTCTTGACTGATTATCAGCCAACTATCAACCAACTGTTGACTGACTATTGACTGAGTGTTGACCAAGTGTCAACTGACATATCGGTCCAGTATTGCCCAACTCTGAAACTTCTTTGAACTAAGAGAAAAAATGGCTGAGGGCTTATGTAATAAAATAAGTGGCTTTTTATTGTGTTTGAAATATATTTTGATTCTGTTACCTTCACAAAGTTATAGAAACTCTAAAACTCCAACCCGACAGAATAAATTACATTTGGAAAGGATTATGATGATCCATATCTTTATGAGGTGGTATCAGACTTGTACCTGCTCTTGCCAACATTTGGGTTTAGAAATATTTTGTAAAACTTACTACAGTGGTTAAACCCAGTGAGAATATTCCTGGTATGTTAATATCAGCTTACTATAGCATAGTGCCTCTATGCTTATTTTAGGAGCAATAAGGTGAAAAATAATATTCTTTTCGCAGCAAGTTGTTTTGCTCAAGTTAAGAGAGGCTTAGTACAGGCATTGTAGTATGTAAATTGTTTTTTAATACATTAAAACATGATTTATATAGAGGTCATTTATAATGATTTATAATGGTCATTAATAATGATTACAAAGAATGTCATTGTTTAATTTGAGGGAAAAAAGCAAGCAACCATTGGACAAATTTTATCAGTGCAAGACACGTAACATGCTGCAAAGCTTGGAACATTTATTTGATTCTTAACCTTGATATTACAACAAATCATTGCATGCAGAGCACTGGTATATATTTTTTAGGATATAGTATCAAGTATCTAGGTAACTCTGTAAGTTATCAAAACTTTTACAACTTTTTAGGAAATCAATTCTAAATTCAGTCTCTATGATTCTTGTCTTTATTACTATAGCATAAGTATTTCCAAAATGAATTCATGTCAAAATTTAAAATAAATGATTTTCATCATTTTCACAACTTTTTTATCTTTGTTTCAAAATGTATCTTCCCCTTTTTGGGTATGAAAAAGTACATATTTGTTTGTGTAAGACTAGTTTATCCATTAAACCAACATTTACAAAGTTAGAGTACAAATAAGAGGACCTGAGTGTCCTGAGTTGTGATTGGAGACTTTGATAAAATGGAATAATGAGAGATCTTAGACATGATGTTTCCTGCAAAATCAATTTTATACTCTCTGAAAATTCCTTTAAATAATCACATTTGCTCTTGAAAGGTTCTTCTCATTCTGAATTCTTTTGAAGGCAAACAAATTGAAGAATTTGCCACTGGCAACTTCAAAATCATGCTTAAAATTAATCCCTATTAAGTCCTCTGTTGTAAGTATGTATTATTCAGTCTGCTACTTACAAAAATGAGGTACCAGTTGTTACCTTAATTTTACAAAGTCATTGTTTGGCAGTTGATGAAATCATACACAGTTGCTGTATTCAGTAAACAGTGTTAGGTGGAAACTAAGACAATGTTTCCCAAATTTACCTAAACATTAATTTAAAGCTTAAAACTTAAATTTAAAGTAAGAGAGGTATAAATTAAAGATGGCACTGAATTCGAAACTTTAAGCTGATGCAAGCCACCTTAACATGAAATAAACATTAACAATCACTGACTATACACTGTAAAGTACATATTAAGTAATATTGCCATTTGCTTTAGAAGTTTACTAGAAATCAGTGGTGATATTTCAGTTAAGCAAACAGATCTAGCTTCCTTTGCATTTATTTCTTATAATAATCTAAGATTGGTGGATAGGACAGTAGGTCCCTGGTGAAACTAACTATATTGCAGTGCTGCCACTGAAACAGCTTCACTTTAATCTTCTAGATAAATAAAGCACATATCAAGAAATAAAATTAAAAATAAAGCAAGAAACCCTGCGTCTAAATGCTACTAGATTAGCTTTTTTTTACTTATACTACGTGTAACTAATGTCACAAATTAATTATTGGACTGTGTCTCTTAGTTTTTCCAGGCTTTACTTGTAAGTGCTACTGACGTGAGAATTCACAACTATAGCTGTAGTTGTTCTTGACTATGTCACTGGCTCTCTGACCATCTAATTAATTTTTGATAGTTCTCTAGAAAGCAATTCTTGCCAAAGCCCTGCATGTATTGGTCTGCTTTCTCAAAGTATTACTTCAAAACAGTAATTCAGAATAACTATTTAGTTATTGAAGTATTCAGTACACTGTTGAGTAAAGTTGGTCCAAGAGGCAGAACATGATGACAAGGATACCTGTACATCTCATTCTTGAAATCATAGCTTGTTCCCATTATTTGATCTGACTTCCCTGGATTATCATAAATCTTCCACAGTGATGAATAATTATAAAACAGATAATTACAGAGTTACACTGGTTGGAACACTGTCGAGTTCATAATATTCATGTGAAATTTTTTCTGAGCCCACACATACAATCCTCATCCCAGAATCTTTATCATTGTTAATTTGCTGGCCAATAGCACTTGTGACAATCATTTCCAACTCTTGATCAAAGCCACCAGCATTTCTGTGATAATGACCAGCAAAAACATATTTGATCCCTGCATTTTTTATTTTTGAGAGCATTTGTTTGCGCAGATTTAACTCAATATTGAAATAATTGTTACTCTCGTCAGGATTGCCGAAAAACCAAGGAATGTGTTGAAACATCACAATATGCTGTGCATCACATGATTTTGCAAGTTCAAGCTGTTCATCCAGCCATTTATCTTGTTCTTGTTTTTCATCAATCACTTGACTTGCATCTTTGTAAAACTGGCTATTGAGAACAATAAAGAAGACTCCTGTTAAGAGAAAAGAGAAGCCAAGATTGTTAAGCTGAGATTTAAATTTTGTTTCCCCTGAATTACATTTATCCACATCTGTTAAAATATTATGTGCAACAATATTATGTCAGTCTTGTCTGTAATTTTGACTTTGAGTATCTAATTAATATCATTATCTCATTAAGCAACCTTCTGTTTAATTTGTGTGATATATATGATGGCCAGTCACCCTTACAGAAGCTGGCACACATGGCTAAAATATTCATGAACTACCAGTAATACACAAATCACGCAACTAATGAAATGAGTAAGGATAAGAGATACCAATACCAAATACTCTATACCAGCTATACCAAGGTCAGATCGGGAGATCTCTTATTGCCTTGCCCATGCTTTGTCTCATGCCTGTGACCAATGGCTGACAGGAAGCCAAAAAGACTCTGGGCTTGAGATTGCACAATGAGCACCATGGCATACCAGTCTAAATGGCCTATGAGGACTGCCTGAGTGAACTCATTGCTGGGGCAGATCCAGGATTTAGTCAAGGGTGGTTCGGAGAATTGTCCGAGGGCATGCTCCCCCAAGAGATTTTGAAAATTAGGTCTTCAGAAACATGATTACCACTATTTTGAGGGAAAATTTAGGGGGTTCGACCGAACCACCCCTGGATCTGCCTCAGTGCCTCAGCATTGATGACCATGAGTTTCGACTAAAGTACTTCCTTAATCTGGTTTTAAATTTTTTGACTGTCTTAAAATGACGTTTTTATAGAGTAGTGAGCACTGCAGAACTTTGATGGTGCAAGATAATCCTATATTTTGTCAATCAAATCACATGACTTACCATATTGCTCTATGATGTCACAGTATCAGTATTAATATCGATATCGAAGAAAATTTACCTCGTTGTGTGAGAACCAGAGAACATTCTAACACATTTTCTGCAAATCAGATCATCTATAGCCCTTACATGATTGTATATCCCACTTGAGAAATAATTTATAAACATTCAATTTAAGTGGGGGGGGAGGGGGAGGAGGAAGGGATTGAGAGGAAAATCTTGGAATTTTGAGTGACTTTCATCTCCCTAACATATCCACCACAGCATTCCTGAGGGATTCTGTCAGAATATACCAATTCTAAGTCAGAATGGTCTAATGGAAAACTTATCGAGGATCAAATCTAACAAAAGTAGTCTTGGCTGTGGAGGACACATTTGAAAGTTGTCACAACAGGAGGTTTCTTTGTTAAAGATGAGGATTTTCCCCCCTTGACCCACCCCACATAGCTCACATGGATACATAGATGAGAAATATACTTCCTACAGACGTAAACTAAAAAATTCAAAATCTAAAAACAAAGAAGCATAAATATCTGCATGGAACACAAAACACTGAAGAGGCTTCTTGCAACGGCATATAGATACATTTTGCTGAAAAGATACAACTGCACTGATAAAACGCACTTTCAAGGACTCGAAAAGTGAAATTTTCTACAATGAGCAATGGAAAACAAATTATCGAGGGCGCGATAACGAAACCCTTTATTACCGAGAAAAACTACGGTTTACTTACAAAAGGAAAATTCAGTTATGGGGTTTCCTGTTAGAATTTCGCTGAATCTGATATATCTCTCACCTCCAACCCAAAAAGAATAAAAGTCATCGCCAAAATTGTTGCGGTACTTCTGTAACGACTCTTGCGTTGGCGAATCTCCAATATCGTGGTTTCCACACACGCAAATTAGTGGTATGCTCGGATCAAGTTCTTTGAAAACCTTCTTAAAATCCTCGACCTGTGAATCGTTATAATCTTCCCAAGGAAATGCATTCACGAGATCACCACAAACCACAAAGAATCTAGGTTTCGGTGACAACTTGTTTGCGGCCACGATGGCCTTACGGGTTAACACGATCTCTTTCTCCCACTTTTGCTTCTCAGGCGGGACTCCATTCCACGAGTCAATCAAGCCAAGCTGTGTGTCTGCTGCATGGATGAAATAGAAAGGACCTCTCCACTTCCCTTCGGCTTCATAAGTAAGTCCAGGGTACTTTTTGTTCACGGCCTTCGTAAATGCGCCTTCCGCCATGTTGTGGATACAACACCTGCTCTATTCGAGTAGGAAGAGACCTGGAACTAGTAAACGTTGCAACTTCCTGTAGAAAAAAAAATTAATGGCTCTGGAAACGTTGTCAAATACACAGGATGAATAACCTTCTTTGTTTGCACCTTAGATGTGGCTGACAGCTGCAAGGTAAGATATGCTTTACATCATGCGTTGATCTTAGCACTGGTTGCTTAAAGGTGCGTGACCTGTTAGCGTGACAGACAAGTGTAACTGTCGCGTGAGATCTGGGTCAAAGCATGTAACGCCTGTTAATTTTTTGAAAGAAATGGCGAATTCTCCAAACAGAAAGTATGTAATTACGAGTCTGAGCACTAATCTTATGGTCAAAACATGTTTTGATTTATTATCCCAATCGAGGATGATTTGAAAGTATGACATGGAAAGGTAAGATAGTGTTGAAAGGATGATCTTTGACTCGTTTTCTTTACATCTTCAGACAGCTTCCCCATGACGTCTTGAGATAACTGACGATACTCTTCCGATAACACATTGTAATGTTTGCAATTTTTATTATTTTTATTTTTCAGCCCCTCTACAGCTGTGTGCATCCATTTTTGTTGGGTAAGTTAAATCACTTGAGAAGAAACAAAATTAAGAATTGCTAGTTTAAAACCACATGAAACAACGGATATATATTCACCACTGGAAAGTAAAATATTTTTAAAAGCATTTGTCATGAGGTAAAGCTAAATATATTTTAATGGATAGTAAATCTAAGTGAGATTAACTGGACTTTTTTATCACTGCATGGTAACAATACCTGCTGCAAACTGTGTTTTAGTGCTGGCTTCATGACATGGGAAATTGTCCATAATATTGAAAGTTTCCTTACAAGAGAAGATGGTAGAATCAAGAGAGGCTTCGATTTGACTACTGATGAAATTGCAGATAGTAGTCATGATTTAGCTGAATGTTTACAAGGTAGGTATGGCTGTGGTGGATATTGACAAACTTATCCCAGGTGGAAATCTTATTAAGATCTTGTAAGATCTTACAAGAATCTTGTAAGATTCTTATTAAGATTAAGATCTTAATAAAATCTTGTTTAACTCTTAAGATCTTAAAAAATATTGGTAAAAATCTGGAGAGGATCTTACAAGATCTTATCCAAAGAAATCAATAMTATCCAACTTGCTAAGATCTTAAAAGATCTTAATAAAAATCTTGTAAGATCTTAAAATAAATCTTACAAGATCTTGTCAAATTTAGTCAGTGTGTAGCATTTTAAGATCTTAAAAGATCTTGATAAAATCTTGTAAGATCTTAAAATAAATCTTACAAGATCTTGTCAAATTTAGTCAGTGTGTAGCATTTTAAGATCTTAAAAGAGTTGATAAAATCTTGTAAGGTCTTAAAGAAATCTTACAAGATCTTGTCATCAAAAGTCAGTTTGCAGCATTCTATTGATAAAAAAAAAATTATAAGATCTCAGAAAATTATTAATTAAGGTATCAACACTCTAACATCTATTAAATACAATGTTAAGACAATCTTACAAGATCTTGTAAAAAAAGTTAGCTTTTAATGATATTTCATGTAGTAATAATAAGTATTATTCTTAGATTTTTAGGTCACTGTGAGTCCAACATTCACATCACTTTTGAGTTTCCAAACTTCTAATTCTAAAAATGTACTGTTAAAGGGAAACTCCACCTTGACTCAAATGAACAATTTAAAATTGTACAAAATAATATTTGCAATCAATTTTCATTAAACTAGTTGTTGTTTCAGAAAAAAAAAGAAGAATTTAGAACAACGTATTTTCACTTTCAAATTTCCCAGGTGCCACTATCTTGAATGATTGTGACATGCCATGGTTGCAGTTATTGTTTTCACAAAAAGGGCTTTTGTTTGAAATGAGAGAGCAACTGTTGCCCATCACAGTTATTCAAAGATGGCGGCATCCGCGAAATTTAAAAACCAAAACAAGCATTTTTGAAATTCGTTTATTTTGGGTCCCAATTCTTTCATTGCAAAAAAGTTTGAACAGTTCTGATTCTATATGTTCTGATATGTTCTATAGTTTAAAGTTATTGTCCTGTTTTAGTGGAGGTTCCCTTTAGGTAAAGAGTGGTACATTAGATTTTTTGGAGCCTAACAATAATTTGTTGCAGCTTTTTTTAATTATGCATTTGAATTAGTCTCTTTCGACTAATATTTAATCTTACCTTCATACTTTTTAGTAAAAAAAGTGGTAATTTTTTTTCCATTAATGAAAATTTGGAATACCATTATTATGTTGCAAAGAGGTGCATCACCCTTTAATTTTACTTGGGAACAATTTAGTAGTGTTCTTGTTTTCTGAGTTTCAAACTTGTATAAATAGTTCATTGCTTTGTAATAAAAATAGGATTTCTGTTTTAATAAAATAGTGTTCTAAAGTTTTTTTCTGCTCTTTCTATTTTGGTAACATTGTTTTTTTGCAGAAATGAGAAATATTTTGATGAGATCTGAGTAAGATCTTGGTAAGATCTCATATTATCAAGATCTTGTGAGAATCTTGGTAAGGTCTTGTAAGATCTTACAAGAATCTTGGTAAGATCCTCTAAGATCTTACAGGAATCTTAGTAAGATCTGGTAAGATCTTGGTAAGATCTTCGTAAGATCTTGGTAAGATCTTTGTAAGATCTTGGTAACATCTTGTAAGATCCTGGTAAGATCTTGTAAGATCTTTGTCAGATCTTGGTAAGATCTTGGTAAGATCTTGGTAAGATCTTGGTAAGATCTTGGTAAGATCTTGGTAAGATCTTGGTAAGATCTTGGTAAGATCTTGTAAGATCTTGGTAAGATCTGGTAAGATCTTGGTAAGATCTTGGAGCATTTTCCTAAGATCTTGTAAGATCTTGTAAGAATCTTGTAAGAATCTTGTAAGAATCTTAATTAAGAAGTAAGATAAGATCTTAGTAAGAATCTTATTAAGAATCTTACTAAGATCTTAATAAGATTTCCACCTGGGATTTGCCTGGGTACTTCATTGGCAGGCATTAAGAGAGTAGCCTTTTAAGCAATTATTGGATGAGGTTGAGCATGATATTGTGAACGATCAAAACCAAGGTCTGAGTTATTTCGGAAGCTGAAGATTGACGCAGACAACTTAGATACAAGGTTTTCATAATTCACTATATCATGCAGAAACTGACTTCATTTATTGTAACATTTTATTATTATTTCAAGAACTCATTAATAATTCATTAGGCTAACAGCCTATCAAAACATCAATGAAACATCATGTGTAGTCTATGTTCATTCTGAAAAGTCTGGTGGTGGCTTTGATTTCAGTCCCAGGGGAGTGCAGGGCTGAATGTGCAAACAATGCAATTATTGCTTATTCTTAAATGAAATGATCTGTATATAAAGGTCACTAGTGATCTTTATAGAAAGGTTCATCCTTGCATAAAATTTTAATTGCATTGCTTCCATTACAGTCTTCTGAACACGTCGGTGACAAACTTTTTCAACCAAAAATTCAAGGATTCAGTGCTCATGTTTACAACATTTGTTTCTAAGCTTTGAACATTGTCTACTTTGACTTTGAATCCTCTTTCCTCAAAGTTGATGCCTTTATTTCTTCTTGACCTTTGCCACTTGCCAAATATTGTGTAAACTGTCCACTTTGTGGCCTACCACGTAGACTTTGGAATACAACTATCCAAGTACTCCTTCTCTTCCTCTACACTTTTTGGTTCTCAAAGCATGCATTTGGGCAGCATTTGGGCAGCATTTAGGCAGCATTTCAAGTAAAAGCTCTCTGAGACTTTTACAGCAGCTGAACATGGAGTACTTTTCCTATCTGAAAATAATTAACCTTGAATGCATTCATATCACCTTTATCCAATCTTAAGAGAGGCATGAGTTTTTGAAGCCATTCAAAAAACTTGCAGCACATGTTTTATTGGCTCTAAAACACACGGCATTGCCTCATGTTTTAAACCCCATAAAACACTGCTGCTTTTCAAACAATTTGCAAATTAAAAGCAGACACTTAATATCTGATTTGCACACCTAAGAAGCATCTTTGTCACCTTCTGTGAATGAAAAATCTTTTATTTTCAGCTCCTCACCATGGCGGCAATTAAAAGTACAGCATTATCTCAAAGAACACTTTGTTTTGAAGTGTTTTGGTATCATGTAAACTAAAAACTCTACACTTGCTCAGCCTACGAAGGTCATTTTCTGAAATAGCTAGTTTGTTTTCAACCTTTACCAAACCCCACCGTTTCAAATCAACACAGTTAGGAATACTTTGTTCGCCTTGGCGAATTCTTGGTCTTTGACAGTGCCAAATTCTTTTGTCTTGAAATGCCTGTTGAGTTCAAATGGTACAGAAGTCATGGAACTTTTTGAGTACCAGCTGCCATCACTTTTTCTAGCACTGGCTTAAAACTTCTTTAGAACACAGGCCAAAGTGGTTTTATCTTGTAGTTCCTCCAGTTTCTTCTCCCTCAGGTAATCATTCTCAATTTTTACACTTGTTTTTGTTGTCCTCTCTGTTGGAATCTTTATTGTCAAAAATCATTAAGCCATTTTTGCAAAAGTTTGACAACACTGCATGGATAAGGGGCTTGGAAACTAGACAGACTTTGAACTCAACATGATAACCCAATATTTGTTGCAGGCATTTTGTTATCATGTCAACTTTACATGTTACTGTGGGCATATAAAATTGGAGCCAAAACCTTTCAGGCAAGGGGTACTGCAGAGATCAATCCTCAGTCCAGTTTTATTTCTCCTATTGGAGAATGATATGCCAAGTTTGCATCTGAACAACTCCACCATTGATAGATATGGTGATGATACCACCCTGTCCATTAAGTGCAAACTGGAATAACATCACTTCTTTAATTCAAGTTCTTTCTGATGACTTGGAAACTATTGAGAGATGGCCAACTGAAAATGTAAACTAATACTGAGAAGACGAAAGGCCCGTTTGAGCGGTTTCAACATTTTGCTTCGACATGCATTTAACACTTTGTTGAAACAAATGTTTGGTGGGTTTAAACAGGTCATCCAACATTGTTGAAAACATAAAAAATGTTGAAAGCTTGTTGAAAGCATGTTGAATCAAGTTTAAATTCAACATTGATTCAACTTTTCCTTCGAAAGGCCTTTGTGAGGCCTCCAAACAACTTTGTTTTTGCGTCCAACATTTGCCCAACATCCGTTCAACTTTTGTCGAACAAATGTTGGTCAAATGTTGAAACCATTTAAATGGGCCTTAAAGTGTTACAACTTACATAAGCTTAGTGAGGAAACAGCAAGCTTAAAACTAATATGCCTTGATGCCACAAATATTGACCATCACTGGGTTTAATCATTGATAATTAAGATCTTAGCTTTGAAGCACACTGATGATTTATGTAAGAAACTGTGAAAATGACTTGGAATTTTGAGGCATATTAGTCCTTATCTCAAGCAAAGGCACAGGTTGATTTTCTATCTCCTTGTTATAAAGCCAGTTATGTTGTACCTCAGTCCAATTTGGTCATCTTGCAGTAAAGAATAGCTAGAAAGAGTCTTATGGATGCAGAAGAGCGCTGCTCACATTGGACACAGAAAGAACGACATGCATACTAACTATGTTTAATGAACTTAACTGGATTCCATTTTTTATCAAGGCGTGTATGAATAGATGTTATCTAGCCCTTAAAGTGCCCATAATGTCAAAAAACGTTTTTCGCTCATCTAATTCTACATTTCACCAAATGAACTTCTGTGAAAAATTTTTTTGATTTGGATAAAACGCGATTTTTTTACAAAGTTCAAAATTCTATTTTCTTGTGGTTGACCCCTACCATTGATCACAAGAATAATGTGCTCAAAATGACCACGTGACTGATGTCTGTGAAGTAGGTTCAGGAACCTCGCTTGACCCTAAAAGTTCATATAAATACACTGGTCGAGTGCGGGTCATTTATGATATTGTGAGCTTAAGGTATTGTGACCACTCTGAAGCAAATTCCCACTTGTTTTCAAGTCAGATAAGTCACAACCCAAAATCACGTGTTCCTGAACCTACATCATGACTCACTTTAAACCGGGGAAGACTGGTGCAAATGGTGGACCAAAATGGCAGCAAATTTGAATGTCTTTAAAAAATTATAAAAAAATTGCTTTTTATCCAAATCGCAATTTTTTTTCACAGAAATTCATTTGGTGAAATGTAGAATTAGATGAGCAAAAAACATTTTTTGACATTATGGGCACTTTAAGAGACTAGATTATAGACAACTCCAGATTATATATTAAAGACAGATTTTGAGTTTCATAACTGATCCACTCATTTTGCAAATTTAAATTTTTTTTCCTGCCTTTAAGAGAAATACAGGAGGCCAGACTTGTAGCATACAAACTATTAGAAATATTGGAATGAACTGTCTTTTGATGTAAAGAAAGTGAAAAATGTTAAATCTTTAAAAAAGAAATTGTACACAAATTTAATTTCTAAGCAAAGAGAGATAGAAAAAGTTTTGAATTTTTTAATAGTTAAGTAGCCTTTTATATCAAGTCTGCAAAATAACTTGTTTTACAGTAGATAGTAAATATTTTTTAAATAGTTAAGATTTCTAAATAAGACTCTGGAGTTACTAATTTTACTTGTTTCTTAACTTTTGTCTATAATAACTTTTTTAATGACTGTAGAATTATTTTAACATTGATGTTTATTTTATGCTTTTACAAAGGGCCACAAGTTTATCAGTTTTATTATAACTGTCATGTGTTTACCCTCTTTAGATAAAGGCATTACCTTACCTTACCTAACCTTACCTTACTTAATGCTCTTGAGCAAGCAGATGTTTCATAGTAAGTGTAATTTAATTATAATAACATGAATTATCAAACCTTGTGTCTGTGTTATCTGCTTCAGCCCTTGCCTTTGGCAGATACATGTAAGTCAGACCTCGATTTTGATAAATAAACAATAGCCTCTATTTGGCGCTGACATATGAATGAATAATTGTCCTTGAACATTATCTGTTCCAAGGTTCAAACGATTTTCTAGGAAACTGTGGGCTTTGAGGAAATATGCTTGCAAATTTCTCCTTACAAGCATATTTTTCTGCAAAATAGAGGCTATTGTACTTAATATCCTTCAAATGTTTTGCAATACAACACATATGAAGAAATGTTTACAAACAGTTTACCATATGCAGCCATGGGCTGTTTTTTTTTTTTGTAGTTTTCTATGGTACAACTCTGAATTAAGTTTAAATGAAGGCTTATCATGGTGAATGTAAGGTTTGAAAATTGGGCAATATCAGCCAGTTTAGCTGGAGAATATGCAGTCAAGTGATGTGTTTAAACCAATAGTGTGTGAGCAAAAATATTTGATTATCATAATTCATGCTTAACCTGTTTCAATAATTGTCTCTAGTAATAGCATTGCTGCACTAGTATTGCAGAGGACAGTGGTTTGAATCCTGTGCAGGCCTGAATTTTTTCAGGTCTAATTTTCACTATTGCTTAAATAATGCTCGATCTTTACTGCAAGGATTGTGCACAAATACATAAGCTTTGAAGGCCATCCTTGAACTTTTTGTGGTGTTTTTTTAGTCCTTGAGGGACACTGTCCATTTGTTGTAATTTACTTAATATTTCAATAATCATTTCATTATCTGTTTTATTAGTACCTTGGCTGGATGAAGCTTGGAAATATACAAATACAGAAGATTGGCAAAAGACATTGTGGGCCATTTTGCCAAGCAGCTTGATACTGCAATTCTCCAAAGGTATCTATGATCAATTACTCTAAACACATTAGAATGTTGCTTTACAGCCAGGTGATTATTTAATTTAGTGGGTTGTCTCAACTGAACAACTGATAAAGTTGACTGAACAACTGATAAAGTTGTCAGATAAGGGAAATAATGTCTAGTAGCAATTTGTTTGGCTTAAGAAACAAGCACTGTAATTGTAATGGGGTTGTTTTATCATCTACAGTGGAGTTCTAAGTTATTTTTCACTAAATAATCATCCTACTTTTGAAGTGCATCTAGTGAAACAGGAGTCACTCAGACTATGAAAACCAAAAGGAACACAGAGCTGAAACAATTGATTCCAAGAATTGAACTCTTTTGACCCTCATCTCCATACTGTTTTCTACTCATATACTGTTATATACTGTTTTCTACTCATATAATATGGTAATGACAAGGGGAATGTGTATAACAGTCAGGAGCTTCCTAAGTGGGTGATCATTAGCTGGATTCTCATAACCTTACAGTTTGATTCAGTAGTGATATGATGTACGGAGAGATGCTAATTACTCTTAGAGGATAAAGCCAGTTTTAAAAACAATTAAATCTCAAGTTACAGTATAGAGAAATATATTTTTTCTTCTAGTCACGCATGTGGGATAATAGACCATGCCCAAAATAGGATTATTTTTTTTCTTGTTTTTCGCTTAGTACGGATGATTAACGTACTATTAAAATTAAGCCGATTAGACCAGACTTGTTTAAGTTGTGCTGTTCTTGCCCATTATAAACCTAACAATTTATTTTTCTTTTATTTGTTTATCTACATCTATGCAAAGGAATTATAAATGTAGGAAATAATCGGTTGAAAAAGAAGATAAAACAAATAGGTCTAACGGCTGAGTAATAAACCTTCCAAAGCCGTGTTGAGATGTCCGTACCGAGTACTACGGCACTAACGTAGATAGATAGATAGATAGATAGATAGATAGA